TGCCCTTGCGAGTGGGTGATGAGAAGCACCGGGTAGATCCCGGTGGTTCCCTGTGTCTTGCTGCTCAGCGGTGCTTCCATGTGCAAAATGGATTAATTTGATTCACCAGGAGGTCAGGAGCACTTCCCCAATTGCCCCAAATTGATGCTTGCTGCCTATTTTAACATAGGATCAAGGATGAGAATCGAAATCTCTGATGATGACGGTGGTGCCTCGAAAATCGCGTCTTAATGGATTTTGATTCCCTCAGCTGCCCCTCTCTCCCTGCAGCTCCAGTTTCATCACATCCCAACATTTCTGAGGTTCCCAAAAATCACAAAATCGCAGGGGATGGAGGAAATGCCCTCTGGGATGTGTGTATCTCTCCAGGGATGCAGCACCCCTAAAACCCCCAGGGCTGGGGACACCACAGGCAGGCGCTTTCCTGCAGCTCTGCCCCAAACCCAGAGCTTTGGATGGTGAACTGGAACTGGAGCTGCCTTTTCCAGCTGGATCCAGGTGCCCTCGCCCTGCTGGCACCTTCCCCTTGGCTTCCTGCAGCAGCAGTGGGAGCAGAGTTGCCTGTTGTGCTGCTTCACCCCACACCAGCTGCACTTCCAACATCTTAAAGGTCGGGAAAAGGCACCGTGAAAAGAGCTGAGCTGCTGTGGTTTGTGTCCCTGTCCATCACTTTTACAATTTGGCTGCTTCTGGGCACTGGGAGTGGTGTGGACATCAGCACCAGGGTGTCCCTGCGCCTCTGCCCTGTGCTACTCAAGATCCTGAGTTGGACTTGATATTCCAAAATGCTCCTGAGCTGCTTGGGTGCTAAAATCCCTATTTTTCCCATATTCCACATTCCTATTGTGGAGGTTTCCAGCCATGATGCTGCCTCTTAACAGCACAGCTTTGCTCAGAATTTTCTTTTTCAGCCTGCAGCTCACAAGCTGCCGTTCCCCTCCAAATTTTCAGCATTTGGGCTTTCCCCTTCTTTTATAAACCACTGAAGCAGCAGCTTGTGCCTTCCCTGACCATTGAGATGGGGGTTCCTCAAATGCCCAGATTTTTGCTGAGGACGTGATCTGGGCTGTGACCTGGGCCTGTCAGGGTGCAGGTGGCAGCTGAGGGATGTCCTGTGTGTGCTTCCTCCCAAGGTGACCCCCTCGGCGGGCAGCAAGCTGAAGCGCCCCACGTTCCACTCCAGCCGGACCTCCCTGGCTGGGGACACCAGTAACAGCTCCTCCCCAGTCTCAACAGGTGCCAAAACCACTCGGGCAGGTGAGTGAGGGGAAAAGGTGGGAAAACTCCCCCCTGGTGCAGTGGAGAAAGTACAGAATATTTGAGGGGTGGGTGGTGAGGGAGGAGAGGCTGGCACAGCTCTGCAGCTTAATGGATCTGGAGGAACAAACTTAGGGCATTGAGAGGATCAAAATTTAAGGAATCAGGAGGAACAAAGGGTATTGGGAGGAACAAACTTTAGGGCAGCAGGAGAGGAACAAAAGGCATCTGGAGGAGCAAACCTTAGGGCATCAGGAGAAACAAAACTTAAGGCATCAGGAGAAGAACTTAGAGAACTTTGGGCATTGAGAGGAACAACACTTAAGGCATCACAAGGAACAAACCTTAGGGCATCAGGAGGAACAAAACTTAGGGCATCAGGAGGAACAAAGGGCATCAGGAGGAACAAACCTTGGGGCATCATTAGAAACAAGGGGCATCAGGAGGAACAAACCTTAGGGTATTGGGAGGAACTAAAGGGCATCAGGAGGAGAAAAACTTAGAGCATCAGAGGGAAGAAAACTTAAGGCATCAGGAGGAGCAAAGGGCATTGGGAGGAACAAAACTTAAGGCATTGGGAGGAACAAAACTTAGGGCATCAGGAGGAATTTAAGGGCATCAGTAGGAACAAAGGGCATCAGGAGAAACAAACCTTAGGGCATGAGGAGGAACAAAGGGCATCAGGAGGAACAAACCTTAGGGCATGAGGAGGAGCAAACCTTAGGGCATCAGGGGGAACAAAACTTGGGGCATCAGGAGGAATAAAGGGCATCAGGGGGAACGCACTTTAAGGCCTTGGGAGGAACAAACCTTAGGGCATCAGAGGGAACAAGCCTCCCATCTGACGGCTCTGGGGGCTCTCCCTGCAGACCCCAAGAAGGCCGCCAGCCGCCCCACGAGCCGCGCCGGGAGCCGCACGGGCAGCAGGGCCAGCAGCCGGCGGGGCAGCGACGCCTCCGACTTCGACCTGCTGGAGACGCAGTCGGCGTGCTCGGACACCTCGGAGAGCAGCGCGGCCGGCGGGCAGGGCTCCCGCCGCGGCGCCGCCGCCAAGCCCTCCAAAATCCCCACCATGTCCAAGAAAGCGCCCGCCGCCACCCCGAAAACGCCCGGCCCCAAGAGATAATACTGTACCCGCCGCCCTCCCGGGGGAAGAGGAAGGAAAAGCAGGCGTACAAACAGAAAAACACAAACGGAAAAACAAAAAAAAGAAAAGCACCCAACCTGTGTCCACTTTTTAACCCTACATTGGATGTATATTTATTCTAAATGGGAGAAACTATATTGTTAAAAGTGTAAAAGAAAAGTTGTGTTATGAAGCTGCCTTATTTGGATTATTTCTTTTTTGGTTTATGATTTTGTTTTTTGGGTTTGTTTTTTTTTTTGTTTGTTTGTTTTTTTTTTCTTTTTTGTAAGTTACTATTTTCATGTGAATATTTATGTAGATATTAAAAAAAAAAAAATTTGCCTCTCAGTGACCCCCCTGTTTAGAGAGGGGCCTGGAAAACTGAAATGTGGGAGAGAAAGAAAAAAAAAATCAAAAAAAGATTTAAAAAAAAAAGGAAGCAAAAAAAAAAAAGGTCAAGATGTGAAAGTGTAAAGAAAAACTAAAATATAAATAGGATTTCTGCGCGGTGCAGGGTGTGAACCTGCTTTATCTTTTAGGATTGTTTCCTAAATGCATCTTTATAAACTTAACTTGCTGTCTCAGCAAGGTAAATTATATTTAAAAGCAAAGACCTGAATCCTGCAGTGTTCAAGGAACTCTCTTTTTGTAAATCACAGATACCTCAACCAGAGAAACATGAGGTGAGGGGACTTGGGGCTTATGTTTCCATTTTTTTTAAAGCTACGTGGTTTTATCTGAAGAAAGCGGAGTTTGACTTTAATAAAATTTGCACACACTACAGCAAAGGCCGTGACAATTTTGCTGTCTTGAAAATACTGTCCTGACAACTTTGTTTTTAAAGAACAAACCGAGGGTGAAGGGTTTGGGGAGGGGTTTGAGGAGGGGCTTCACATGCAGGGTAGGATTGCAGGTCTGGATCACTGGGATGCATCCCTTAGAGGTGGTGGGCCCTCCAAAATCAAGGAATCTTCTGGATTGATGGCTTAACCAGCCCGCCCCGAGGCGTTCCTTACACAATCACTGTTTTATCTGCATCTCTCTTTCGTTTTCCTATTTATTATTTAACTGGTCATTCCACTTCCAGCCAGGCTGAGATTGATGTGAACTCTGCTCCTAGGAGAAATCTGGACTTACACGCACAGTTGCTTGTCCTTGAAATGAGTCTCACCAGCACACTCGCTGCAAGTCCTGTCTCGCTTTTGTACGCTCCTTTTTCTTTGTAATAAAATCCGACTTGACCAAGTGACCAGGAGACGAGGGCTCTGCACAGCTCCTGTATTTATTAAATATTGTTCCTCTCCGGCTCTGACCGTGTTGCTGTGTGATTCTCTCAATTGGTTTCAAATTGAGGCAAAACCGAAGCTCTACCAATGAATTGTTTAAAAGAACCAGACACATTTTTGTATTAAAATTGCTTGCGGTAATAAACAGTCTTGCCTCCTGCTTTATTCCCCAGTGTTAGCTTTGTCAGGATGAGCTGCTTATCCCGTGTGGGGGGAAAGCAATGGCTGTGGGATTCAGGGGGTGTTTGCACCCAGATTTTCTTGTGGGATGGAGCAGGGAACCGCCCAGCCGCAAAATTAAAGTGGTCCAGGTGGGTGGGTGAGGTTGGTGAGGTGCTCAGTGGGGTGGGGAAGGGATGCAAGAGGGTGTCCAAGAGTTTGGGTGGCCTTGGGAGGATTTCTCAGGTGGGTGAGCATCCCCAGGTGTGTTTGTTCAGGGATTTGGGTGCCAGTGAGGGTGGACACCCCTGGGTTTGGTTGCCTACAAGGAGGATCCTCCTTAGGGGTGGGTGCTCATGGGGTGAGCATCCCTAGGAATGGATCTCCATGCATTTGTGCACCCACGAGCAGAAGCATCCCTAGGGATGGCTTTTGGTGTGAGTGAGGGTGGGAACCCAGGGCTTTGGGTGCCCACGAGGATAATCATGCCCAGGAATGGGTCCCCATGATTTTATGTCTCCACAGCTTTGGGTGCCCACCAGGATAAGCATCCCCAGGGATGGGTTCTTATGAATTTTTGTCTCCATGGCTTTGACTACCCAGGAGGACAAGCATCCCCAGGGATGGGTTTCTATGAATTTGTGTCTCCAGAGCTTTGGCTGCCCACGAGGATAACCATCCCCAGGGATGGATTCCCACGAATTTGTGTCTCCACATCTTTGGGTGCCCACCAGGACAAGCATCCCCAGGGATGGATTCCCATGAATTTGGGTCTCCACAGCTTTGAGTGCCCATGAGGACAAGCATCCCTAGAGATGGGTTTCTATGAATTTATGTCTCCAGAGCTTTGGCTGCCCACGAGGACAAGCATCCCTAGGGATGAGTTCCTATGAATTTGGGTCTCCACGGTTTTGGCTATCCAGGAGGACAACCATCCCCAGGGATGGGTTCCCATGAATTTTAGTCTTTGGTTTCCTGCCGCTTCTCATGCCTAGCGATGCTCCCCGTGCCCCGCAGCCGCCGGGCGGGGAGGGCCGGGGCGGTGCCGCTGCCGGGACCGTCCCTTTCCCTCTCCCCGCCGGGGCGGGCCGGGGCCGGGGCCGCAGCCGGGGCCGTGCCGGTGCCCGGGGCCGCTCCGCACCGGGCGGCGGGCGGGGGGTCCCGGCGGTGCCATGGGGCGCCGCGGGGCCGTGGCGCTGCTCTGGCTGGCGGCCGTGCTGTGCCAGCTGGGCACGGGCAGCGCCCTCCGCCGCCGGCCGCACGCCGCCGGGGTCCCGCAGCGGCGGCTGAGCGGCGGCGAGCGCCGGGACGTGCAGCGGGAGATCCTGGCCGTGCTGGGGCTGCCCGGCCGGCCCCGGCCCCGCGTCCCGGCCCGTGCCCCCGCCGCCGCCGCCGCGCCGCTCTTCATGCTCGATCTGTACCACGCCGTGGCCGGCGAGGAGGAGGAGGAGGAGGAGGGTGAAGAAGCGGCGGTGTCGCGGCCGGTGCTCACCGGGCTCAGCACGCAGAGCCCCCCGCCCGGCAGCGTCGTGAGCCGAGCAGACACCGTGGTCAGCCTCGTTAATATGGGTGAGAAACGGCGCGGGGCACCGGGAGGACAGGAGCGCACCGGGGGTGCCGGGATGTTCGGGACACCGGGGGTACAGGGGGCACCGGGAAGTACCGGGGGTACCGGGATATGCGGGGTACCGGGGGTAACGGGATGTGCTGGCAGGATCCCGGTCGTTTTGGTAGGATCGGGGACACCACGACGATAGGAGCACACCGGAGCGCACCGGGGGTGCCGGGAGAGGATACCGGGATGTGCGGGCAGGATCCCGGCAGTTTTGGCAGAATCGGGGGCACCGGCACGATCGGAGCGCACGGGGATGATCCGGGTGGTTTAGGCAGGACCGGGGTACCGGGATGTGCCGGGCACCGGGGGGACCGGAGCGCACCGGGAGGTACCGCTGGTACCGGGATGTGCGGGCAGGATCCAGGCGGGTTTGGCAGAACCGGGGGCACCGGGACGATGGGAACACACAGGAATGATCCAGTTGGTTTAGGCAGGACCGGGGAGGACCAGAGCGCCCGGAGGAACCGGGTGGACCAAAGCAGGACCGGAGAGGAGAGACGGGAAGCGCCGGGGGGACATCGGGGACAGCCCCGGCGGGATAGGCACGGGGCTGAGCCGATGCCAACCCCAGCTCCTGGTCCGTGATCGTGGTACCGACGGCTCCGAGCATCCCTCGGGGTGGTTCCTCAGCCCTTGTTCAAATAAGGAACTTTTCTGCCCAAAGTTGAGCTCAGTAACGGGGAAAGGGACACGGTGGCGATGAGGGACACGGTGGCGGGGTGAAAGTGGCCGGGATGAATCCCAATTCCGCTTAAAAAGGGGAAATGGAGAAGCGAGAAGGAGCCGAGGGAGGCTCCTCCATCCCGCTGTCCCCGTTTCAGCGGGCACAAGGTGGGCAGGGACGGGGCTCGGGGCAGCGGCTCTGGTGCCCCTCGGTGGGACACTGAATCCTGGCTCCAAATAAAATCCTCCAGGCTGCTGATTATTGCTGGAATCCCGTCCGGCTGCTTACCAGGCTCCAGCACCCCTCGTATTTCCAGGCAGCATCAGCGGGGCCACAAACACTCGGGATGGGATAAATCCTCTCCCAGGGCTGAGCCCAGCGGGATTTTCAGACCAGGAATTTGGATATGGAGCTTTTCCCTGCGGCTGCTCGTTGCTTTAAGGGGTGTTTGGGTGCCCCGAGCAGAAAATCCCCCACAAACTCTGAGGATGGGGAGAATCCCTACTCGGAAATGGGAGGCAGGGAGAGGGATCTGCGCCCTTGGGAGGAGGTTTAGGCGATGGAGGAGCTGTAGAGGTTTCTCCCACTGGTTCCTACACCCCCTGTACAACGTGTGGGTGTGAGAAGTCTCCCCAGAACAGACCCAGGTGCTTGGGGTGCCCAGCACCCAGAGCCCTGAGGGAACTGGTGCAGTTCAGCATCCTGGGAAAGCTGAGAGTGACGGAGACAAAAACTGAAACACCAAATCCCCTCAGCACTTGGGACAACACCCAAGCACCAGAATGGGCTTTAAAATGGTCAGGTCTGGTGGCAACCACTGTGGGATGTTCAGGGGAGCATTTAGGAGATGGCACTGCTGGCACAGGGACATTGCTGCCCTTCCCAGAGCTCCTGGAGTAGCCAGGAGAGTTGTGGAGCACAGCTCCAGCCTTCCATTTGAATGGCTTTGATTTCTGCGGCTTCCTCGGCCCCTTCATGTTAATTAAATGAGGAGGTTTTTTGTGGGAGAAGGCCAGCTCTCATTTGCATGCATAATTAGCTGTACAATTATCCTGATGGGGACATGCAAATGGGGTGAAGTCTGTGCCCCATTGGGCACTTGGACCTCTTTGGACCTGTGTGAGCCGCTCCCGACGGGCACTCCTTGTTCCTGGGAACGGGGAGTGACAAAAATCCCAAAACACGGCCGGGTTTGGGGACAGGGGCAGCCCCAGCTGCGTTTGGGGATGGTGGATCCTCCCATCCCATCCCATCCCATCCCATCCCATCCCATCCCATCCCATCCCATCCCATCCCATCCCATCCTTTCTGCTCCTCCTGCTCTGTGCTGTTTCTGTGCCCTCCCTGCAGCATCCCAGTGGGATTTGGGGTTTTTAAGCCCAGGGTGAGGATGGGATTTGGGATTTCTCCTCAGCTGTGAGTCATGGACACGGGCAGGGTGTAATTGTGGAGCAGGGAGATGTGGAATGGGAAGGGAAGGGGGTGAGGGCTCACAGCATCCCAGGGTACCACAGCACACACATCCCCCTTTCCATGCTGGCTCCAGATTTATTGGAAGGTGTCCCATGGCAAGGGGTTGGAATTAAATGATCTTTAAGGTTTCCCTGTGGCTGTTTCAGATGTGCCCACAGCCAAAACATCTTCCTGGAATACCCAGGGAGCACTGGAGAGGGACCCAAAAACAGCCACAGCACCTCAGGCACCTCAGGGCACCCTGAGTGTGGGGTGGAAGCATCCTGTGCCAAGGTGCCAGTGCTCTCTCTGGACCCTCTGTGTGGGATTTAGTGGGAAAAGCTTCCCAAATAAACCCTTGGCATCCTGTGCCAAGGTGCCAGTGCTCTCTCTGGACCCTCTGTGTGGGATTTAATGGGAAAAGCTTCCCAAATAAACCCTTGGCATCCTGTGCCAAGGTGCCAGTGCTCTCTCTGGACCCTCTGTGTGGGATTTAGTGGGAAAAGCTTCCCAAATAAACCCTTGGCATCCTGTGCCAAGGTGCCAGTGCTCTCTCTGGACCCTCTGTGTGGGATTTAATGGGAAAAGCTTCCCAAATAAATCCTTGGCATCCTGTGCCAAGGTGCCAGTGCTCTCTCTGGACCCTCTGTGTGGGATTTAGTGGGAAAAGCTTCCCAAATAAATCCTTGGCATCCTGTGCCAAGGTGCCAGTGCTCTCTCTGGACCCTCTGTGTGGGATTTAGTGGGAAAAGCTTCCCAAATAAACCCTTGGCATCCTGTGCCAAGGTGTCAGTGCTCTCTCTGGACCCTCTGTGTGTGTCTTGATGGGAAAATCTTCCCAAATAAATCCGGGGATGCACCTGGGACAGGATGCTCCTGGCTGAGCTCTGTGTCCTGCAGCTCCCAGTGCTCGTCCCAGCAGGATGGAGGAAGCAAACTGGGAGTCTGGGTGTGTTGGGATAGCTCCTAAATCCCTCCCCACTTCAGAAATCCTCCAGAGCTTATTTTTTTCCCCCTGCTTGCTAGCAAAGGACAGCATCTTCCCTGCATCTCCTTTAAACCTATTTTGGGATGCAGAGCACTTGATGTGGTTGAATATCCTGGCATCTCCTTTTAATTTGGTGCCTGAAATGGTCGTGGGGACCCACGGGGAGCAGCCAGGCCCGGTAATTACGAGTGGAGCACGGTTTGTAGGAGTTTATAGAAGGAAAAACGTGCAGCTAAGAATAACCTGGGGAGCAGGAGGAAGGGAAGGGTGGGATCTGGGGAGGGAGCTGGGAATGCTCAGGGAACGGGAGACACCAGGAGGCTCAGCTGAGGTGGAGTTGGGCATCCCCTGCCAGGGGAGCGGCCCCAAGGCAGTTTATATTGGTTTATAATCATTTTTAGATTATTTTGGGGGGTGATGGGAGCACACAGGGGCACTCAGCTTTGGGGGAAGGTGCAGCAGCTCCTGGGGACGATGCCAAAGGAAGGGGAAAGGCGAGCAAAGTGTCGGGTTGGGCTTTTTTGGTGCCTCTGCTCTGCAATCCCGATCATATGCCCACAGATAATTGAGGGTTTATATTGGTTTATAATGATTTTTATATTATTTTTGGGGGGTTATGGCAGCACAGGGGGGACACTCAGCTTTGGGGGAAGGTGCAGCAGCTCCTGGGGATGATGCCAAAGGAGAGAAAAGCTCTTGGGTTGGGCTTTTTTGGTGCCACTGCTCTGCAATCCTGATCATCCACCCACAGATAATTGAGGGTTTATATTGATTTATACTGGTTTATAATAATTTCTAGATTATTTTTGGGGTTGATGGGAGCACAGGGGGATGCAGCTTTGGGGGAAGCTCCTGGGGATGATGCCAAAGGAAAGGGAAAGGAGAGCAAAGATCCTGGATTGGGCTTTTTTGGTGCCTCTGCTCTGCAATACGGATCATCCACCCACGGATAATTGAGGGTTTATATTGGTTTATAATCATTTTTATATTATTTTTGGTGGGTGATAGGAGGACAGAGGGGCACTGATCTTTGGGGGAAGCTCCTGGGGATGATGCCAAAGGAAGGGGAAATGAGAGCCAAGCTCTTGGGTTGGGCTTTTTTGGTGCCTCTGCTCTGCAATCCGGATCATCCACCCACAGATAATTGAGGGTTCTATTGATTTATATTGGTTTACAATAATTTTTATATTATTTTGGGGGGTAATGGAAGCACAGGGGGCACTCAGCTTTGGGGGAAGGTGCTGCAGCTCCTGGGGATGATGCCAAAGGAGGGGGAAAGGAGAGCAAAGCTCCTTTGTTGTGCAATCCAGATAATCCACCCACAGATAATTGAGGGTTTATATTGGTTTATATTGGTTTATAATAATTTCTAGATTATTTTTTGGGGGTAATGGGAGGACAGGGGGGACACAGCTTTGGGGGAAGGTGCAGCAGCTCCTGCCAAAGGAGAGCCAAGCTCTTGGGCTGGGCTTTTTTGGTGCCTCTGATCCGCAATCCGGATCATCCACCCACAGATAATTGAGGGTTTATATTGATTTATATTCGTTTATATCGCTTTATAATAATTTCTAGATTATTTTTGGGGAGTTATGGCAGCACAGGGAGACACTCAGCTTTGGGGGAAGGTGCAGCAGCTCCTGGGGATGAGCAAAGCTCCTGGGCTGGGCTTTTTTGGTGCCTCTGCTCCGCAATCTGGATCATCCACCCGCAGATAATTGAGGGTTGCTGGTGTGGCTGAGTCAAGCCGGGGCAGGGGCAGATTCCCAGGCACCCTGGGCTCCCCAAACCGCCCTTTTGGGGCACCTCCAGCACACCCCCAGCAGCATCCGAGCACCCACAGCTCTGCTGGGAGCTCGGGGGGGCTGCAGGGCTCCCATTTCACAGCAATTTTGATTTTAACAGTGAACATGGGGATGTTGAGCCCTCTCCAAAAACTCCTTTTTGTGGCACTCCAAGCTGCTGCTTGTGCCCCAGTGGTGGCACAGAAGGGGGAGGTTCTCCCTCAGTCCTCCCCTTACAAAGGGGTTCCCTTTTTTCCTCCCTGGAGCAGCAGAGAATCTGCAGTTTTAGGGCAATACAACAAGAATCCAGGGATTCCTCGCAGGATTTCATCCCAGACAGATCCAGCTTATTTGGCTCACCAGGGAGCTCGGCTAATTGCAGCTCAGCGTATTTTTGCATTTCTCCTGCTGCCAGGGTGTCCCTGGGCTCCCCTCCCACCAAATCTGCCTTCAACCCTGGACCCCTCCATCACCTCCACACCAACAGGAAATTTTCATTTAAAAAAAATTTTTTTAGAGGCTGTCACTCTAGGGACAAAAATCACCTTTTTGGCTTTTTTATCTGGTGTGGGGTCTCTGTGGCCCTGATAAAAAAATCCTTCTGCACATCCCTGGGTGAGGGTGCAGCTACAGCCAAAGATTTTGGAGCAAAATGACCAAAAACACACAAGGGGACACCTGGAGTGTCCCCTACACTGATGTGGGACACTCACAGGGGGATTATCAGTGCTGAAAAAACAGAGGTGATTATTCTGCTCGTATTTTGGGGGGAATTGAAGGATTTTTGTGAGCACCACGAGGCCTCAAAGTTTCAGAAGAATAAAACCACACCATGATGGGATGGTGGAAGAAATGGAGAAGAGGGAAGAGGCTGAGGGAGTGCAGAGGGTTTGGGGGCTCTGTGTCCCCCCCGATGGGGCAGGGGTTGGGGCAGGTGCCCACAGCATCCTCCTGCCCAGCTGGCAGCCACCGCCAGGGCAGGAAACGCTCTCCGCATCCGCCCTGCTCTTTTTATAACACAGCTTGTGGTGAGGCCGGGAGCGGCAGGGAATGTGGGATTTGAAAAACAAAACCAAAAAAAAGGGGTAAAAAAAATAAAGAGGAAAAAATAAGAAGGAGAAAAAACCAACTTGTGGGTATGTGAGTAAAATCATGAGGTTGGGTTTGGAAGGATGTACTGCTCCCTCCGATATATATATATTTTTTTAAATTATATATATAAAAATATATAAAAATATTATATATAATATACAAAATAATATATTTTTATATAATATAAATTATAAATATATAAATTATATATAAATATACAAATATATAAATAATATAATTATATATTTTCTATATAATATATATAAATAAATATATTATTATATAATATAGAATGTATATTTACACATTTAATATATTTATTTAAATATTTATTTAAATATTTTTATATAATTGCAATATATATTATATTATATTATATTATATTATATTATATTATATTATATATATTTTTATATTTATTTATATATATATATATAAATGAGAATGGCAACCTTATAGTGGATTAAATTTGGAATACATCCCCCCTGGAATTGGTTAAAAATGCATTTAAAATGTTTACTTTTTGATTTAGTTTTAGTTTTTAAAGTAAGCACCAGGTTTACCTTTATGCCTGAAGCAGGAGAAGCTTTAATCACATTATATAAATATATAAAGTTTATGATTGAATCATATTTAAATATATATATGGGAACGGCAAACTTAAAGTGGATTACGTTTCGAATATTTCCCCCCTGGAATTGGTTAAACATGCATTTTTTTATTTAATTAATTATTTGGTTTAGTTTTAAAATTAAGCACCAGGTTATGTTGCTTTTGTGCCTGAAGCAGGAGGAGCTTTAGTCACATTGAATCATATTTAATCATAAACTATATGTATATATAATATATATATATATATGGGAATGGCAAGCTTATAGTGTATTAAATTTGGAATATTTCCCCCCGGAATTGGTTATAAATGCATTTTAAATGCTTATTTATTTTTTTTTAGCTAATTATTTGGTTTACTTTTAAAAGTAAGCACCAGGTTACATTGCTTTTGTGCCTGAAGCAGGAGAAGCTTTAGTCACATTGAATCATATTTAATCATAAACTTTAATTACGCTCAGACCAGGAAGATTGGGGCATTTTTAAAAAACAATCTGAAGGAAATAATTGCACATTAGCAAAACTGCGGGGGCTGCATTACCATAGAGAAAGGAAGGTTTATTTTTTACGGGAATGAAATCAGATTTTTCCTGTCCCAGTGTGATGGAGAAATAAGGTGTTTTCAGGAAAAAAGGGAGGGGATTTTTTACAGAGCAGTGATCTGATAATCCCCCCTAACTCCCAAAATCACACAGGATAACAATTTTTATTTGTGGATAAACTTTTACTTATGGACAAATCTTTACTTGTGGACCTGTGATATCCAGTGATGGCCCTGATGAGGCCTGGGCTTGTCTGCTGCAAGAAAAGTTTGGAAAACCCCAATTTTTGCTCCAGATGGTCCTGATGACCCACAAAATCTCAACATTTTGAATGTGTTTTTCCCCTTTTGATGAAGCAGCCCCAAAGCCCGGCACATTCTCTACGCTCCGCCCATACCCAGCGTTTGCGCTTTTAATTTGAATTTATTTTAATTGTAATTTCTAATAAAGGAAGAGGGCTGGAAGGGAAAGCTGGTGGGTTTACAGCAAAATAAATTCCAGAAATAGGGGAAGGTGATCCAGGTCCAAACCCTCAGGAGATGGGAAGAAATGGGAACTTCCAACCAAGGGCGAGCGGCTCAGAACCAGCGGGTTTATCCCCAAAATCCACATGGTGGGGTTCAGTGGGGAGGTTCCAGGCTTGTCCCAGCCATTCCTGAGCCTTTTTTCATCCTCAGTGGAGCAGGACAGGGACCTTTTGTCCCCCAAGCCCTACTGGAAGGAGTTCAGGTTCGACCTGACCCAGGTGCCGGCGGGAGAGGCCGTGACGGCCGCCGAGTTCCGAATTTACAAATCCCGGGGCATCGTCCCCAGGCACGGCAACAGCAGCCTCCACGTCAGCATCTACGAGGTGGCTGCAGAGCATTCCAACAGGTCAGGGGCTGGGAAAGGCAGGGAGGGCAGGAAAAGGGGGTGGGAATGAGGATGAGGAGGGTGGGTGTGGGGATGGAGGTGAGGGGAGCGGGGATGGTGTGGAGAAAATGGTGCAGGGTGATGGGGATGGGAATGGGGGTGAGGATGAAGGTGATGGGATGGGAATGAAGAAGAGGGGAAGGGAATGGGAATGGGGGTGATAGGGATGGGAATGGGGGTGAGGATGAAGGTGATGGGTGTGGAAAAGGGTGTGGGAGTGAAGGAGATGGGAAGGGAACGGGGATAGGAATGAAGATGGTGGGAATGGGTGTGAGGATGAAGGTGATGAAGGTGGGAATGAAGGGGATGGGAAGGGAATTAAGATGATGGGAATGAGGGTGAGGATGAAGGTGATGGAGGTGGAAAAGGCTGTGGGAATGAAGGAGAGAGGAAGAAAATGGGGATAGGAGCAAAGATGGTGGGAATGGGGATGAGGATGAAAGTGGGAGTGAAGGAGATGGGAAGGGAACAGGGATAGGAATGAAGATGATGGGAATGGGATGAATATGAAGGTGATGGGAGTGGGAATGAAGGAGAGGGGAAAGAATTAAGATGATGGGAATGAGGGTGAGGATGAAGGTGCTGGGAGTGAAGGAGATGGGAAGAAATGGGAATAGGAGTGAAGATGATGGGAATGGGGGTGAGGATGAAGGGGGAATGAAGGAGATGGGAAGGGAACAGGGATAGGAATGAAGATGATGGGAATGGGATGAAGATGAAGGTGATGGGGGTGAGAATGAAGGAGATGGGAAGAAAATGGGAATAGGAGTGAAGATGATGGGAATGGGGATGAAGATGAAGGTGATGGGGGTGGAAAAGGGTGTGGGAGTGAAGGAGATGGGAAGGGAACGGGGATAGGAGTGAAGAGGATGGGAATGGGGGTGAGGATGAAGGAGATGGGCATGGGAATGGCAGTGGGAATGAAAATGTGAATGGGTAAGGGAATGAAGAAGATGGGAATGAGAATGCAAACAAGGTTAATGGGGATAGAGACTGAAAATGGGAATGGGAAGGGGGAAAAGTTAATGGAGATAGGGACTGAAAATGGGAATGGGAATGGAAACAAGGTTAATGGGGATAGAGACTTAAAATGGGAATGGGAAGGGGGAAAATGTTAATGGAGATAGGGACTGAAAATGGGAATGGAAGCAAGGATAATGGGGATGGGGATAGGGAGAAAAATGGGGATGAAGATGATGGGAATGAGTGTGGGTACAGGAATGAAGATGGGAATGGGAATGGAACTGAAGGGAGAGGGAATGGAACTGAAGAAGAGGGGAATGGGGTTGGGAATGGGGTGATGGGGATGGAAATGAAGGGGATGGGAACTGGGATGAAGATGGGGACAGGAACGGGGACCAGCCCCTCCCGCCCCACCCGCAGCGGCACCGCCGCGTCCGGCTGCTCCCACACCTTGCCCAGGGCAGCGCCACGCCCTGCATCTCCACCTGGGCACGGAGGGAGCTTTTCCCAGGACACCCCCGTGGTGTCCAGCACCCCAGAGCCGGGATCTGCCCGGGCACAGCTCCCAGGAGTCATCCCCATCCATCACCCCTCCCGCTGCAGCCCTTTGGGTGCTGTTACTCACCTGCTCCTTCCCTCTGTTCCCGCAGGGAATCCGACCTGTTCCTGCTGGATGTGCAGGACCTGCGTGCTGGGACAGAGGGCTGGCTGGTGTTTGATGTCACAGCTGCCAGCAGCCACTGGGCACTGGAGCAGAAATACACCCTGGGGCTGCGGCTCTACGTGGAGACAGATGATGGTGAGCCTGCCCGACCTGCCTGCGGAGTTTGGGGACAAATTCCCAGGAATTGGGGTCCTCTCGGTGCTGCGGATGTGCTGGGGGGGGTTTGATCTCAGTGCAGTTTTGAATTTCCAGCTCTGATGGGTGTCAGCAGTCTGGGTTTGCAGGTTCTGATGGTGTGGACTGTAATTAAGCTCATTAATAGTTAATGAGCTCCTTTCCTGGAGGGATCCTCTGTGTGTGTGTGCCCTGTTTTCCCCATGGGATTAAATCTGCTCCAGCAGTGCCTTTTCCAGGTGGGAAGGCACATAGAGACCAGCTCCTCTTCCATGGGAGGAGGAACCACAGCCCCATCCATCCCTTGCGGTGAAGGACAAAATCACTTTTAATTCTGAATAGCCCCATGTCACCATTTCATGCTGGCATGCCAAACCCACATCTCCTGCTGCAAATTTCCTGCGTTTTTCACCTCTGCTTTAACCAAACCAGTTCTGTTTGAGGCCAAACCCCAGAGATGGTCCTGTCCCTGCAGGACAAAGAGCAGCTCCTCTTCCATGGGAGGAGGAACCACAGCCCCATCCATTCCTTGGGGTGAAGGAGAAAATCACTTTATCCCTTTCAACCCCTGAATACCCCATGTCACCATTTCATGCTGGCATGCCAAAACCACATCTCCTGCTGCAAATTTCCTGCGTTTTTCACCTCTGCTTTAACCAAACCAGTTCTGTTTGAGGCCAAAGCCCCAGGATGGTCCTGTCCCTGCAGGGCACAGTGTGGATCCGGGCTCCGCCGGGCTCCTGGGGCGAAGGGGACCCCGCTCCAAGCAGCCCTTCATGGTGACATTTTTCCGGGCCAGCCCCAGCCCCTCCCGTGTCACACGAGCAGCCAAACCCGCCAGGAGGAGACAGCACAAGAAATCCAGCGGCCTCCCCCACCCAAACAAGCTCCCAGGAATTTTTGGTAAGGTGTTTCCTGCAGGAGGAGGAGGGATGTCCCTATGGAAAACTCGAGGTTCTGCTTGTCAGCACCTTGAAATCTCAATTTTTTTGGCCCAAGGGAAGCAGAGCAAAAAAGTTCTGAGGGTTTAGGGTTGGAGATTTTTGTAGTTTGGGAGGTGCTGAGAGGGTTTGGGTTGGATGCCCTCAAGGAAATGGTGTTTTGTGAGCGTGTCAGGATTACTGAATGTTGGATTTTTTTGCCTCCCTGCCCTTGGCTTTGGAGCCCTGGGAAGGTGTCACAGCTCCAGAAAGCTCAGGCAGGAGGGGAGCAGCAAGGCCTGAGTTTGGGAAGCCCTCAAAGTGAGCAAAGCTGGGGTTTAGCCCTTCCAAAGCTGAACTCCTTCATCCCAATATTGGAATATCAATTTATCGGCCAGTCTGGAACCGCTTTTCGCTTTGTGCAGCAACAAAGGCTCATCTCCTTGGGCTCTCCTGGGTTAATCCCAATCCCAGGGGGTGAATCCCACCCAATTCCAGGGCTGAAATCCCTGTTTCCTTGTCCCACAGACGATGTGCACCCCACGGACGGGCGGCAGGTCTGCCGGCGCCACGAGCTCTACGTCAGCTTCCAGGACCTTGGCTGGCTGGTACTTGTCTGCTGGGAGAAGTAAATGACCAAAAAACACCCAAATAATCCCCCTATCATTCCATTCCCCCACCCTGGGCTCCCCAGCAGGAGAATCCTGCCCATGGAACCACCCCAGGAGCTGGGAAGGCAAACAGGAACAGCCACAACCCCAATCCCCACCAGTGACCCCAAACAACCCATGGCTGATCCAAAAAAACCAAAATAAACCCTTGCTGTGCTGTTTGTGCAGGTGGGGAATGGATGAGGGGGCACAGAAGGTGAAACCCTTGATGCAATCATTTTTTCTGGTTATTTTTGCAGGACTGGGTGATTGCTCCACAGGGATACTCAGCCTACTACTGCGAGGGGGAGTGCGCATTCCCGCTGGACTCGTGCATGAACGCCACCAACCACGCCATCCTGCAGTCCCTGGTCAGTGCAGGGCAGCCCTGGGGGGACATCCAGGGCCCTGGGGAGCACTCAGAGCCCGAGGATGAGCTGGGATTTTGGGATGAGCAAGGCTGGGTTTCGGGTGTTCAGGCGGGAGGGCGCAGTTGGGATCCCGATTGGAATAAAGAATTATGCGTGCACATCTGGGTGGGTGAATGCACATCTGGGTGGGTCCATGCCCATCTGGGTGGGTGAATGCACATCTGGGTGGGTCCATGCCCATCTGGGTGGGTTCATGCCCATCTGGGTGGGTGAATGCACATCTGGGTGGGTCCATGCCCATCTGGGTGGGTGAATGCACATCTGGGTGGGTTCATGCCCATCTGGGTGGGTGAATGCACATCTGGGTGGGTTCATGCACATCTGGGTGGGTGCTCGCACATCTGGATGGGCACTCACACATCTGGGTGGGTTCATACCCATTTAGGTGGGTGCTCACACATCTGGGTGGGGGCATGCCCATCTGGGTGGGTGCTTTCCCATCTGGGTAAATGCTCACACATCTGGATGGGCACTCACACATCTGGGTGGCTGCTCACAGGCTGGCCCCCACCACAGGCTGACAGGAGGTCCCAATATGGAATTTCAAGGCATTTGTGGACAGACCCAGGGTGAGGGCACAAAGCTCTGTCCCTCATCCCCAGCCAGAAATGGGATTTTGTCATCCCAGAGCTCCCTCACCTCTTGATGTTCTGACTGCTCCGGTTTCACAGCAGCTGGGGCAAAACGGATGACTTCTGCCAGATTAATGATCCCTCTGCCCTGGCAGTGAGCTGAGGAGCAGAGACAAGCCCAGGGCACACCAGAGCCCCCTCAAAAACTCTCAGTGTCACCCCTGCATCCTCCACTCCAGCTGTCCCCGAGGCTTTACCCACAGCCCCAGCACTCAAACGTTGGGCTCAGCACATTCCCAGCCAGAAAAGCTCCAATGCCTTGGGTTTGTTTTGTTCCCAAACCCACCCCACATCCCAGCCAGGGCTTTAATTTCTGGAATTTCCTGCCCTGTGAGTGTTTGGTTTCCCAATGGCAGAGCCCGCCCGGCTCCGGTGCTCGCGGTTAATTACAGGGAGCGCCGAGCCCTCGGCCCGGCCTTTGAAGGTGTTTTAATTTTGACACTAACAAAACTTCCAGGGGCTGGGAACCATCCAGGGAGGGGCTTTTTTCCCCCTCTTACACCCACCCATCACCCCCAAAGCCAGCGCTGTTCCCAAAACGGAGCTGCTGGGGCAGGATGTGAATCACCTGGAGCCGGCCCTGCTGGGAAGAGCCAGGGCAAAGGCGGCTGTGGAGCCGTGCCAGCCCCAGCCTGAGCTGCAAATAGCAGGGTTGGACAGCAAAAACACCGGACTTCCGAGCTGGGAGAGCTCGGCTGCCCCTGCTGTAAATGAATCGCACATGTCGGGGCTCCTGAGCGCTGCCAGCCTCCTCCAGCCCCTGCCCTGCAGGAAAACACTGGATAACGCCTGTCCCCAGCAGGGAAAAGCCATCCCAGAGTGCAGCCCTGCTCACTGAGGTGCTGTGGATTTTAGGGTTTAAGTCTGGGGTGGGGAATCTCTGTTGGAACAACACACGGCACACATCGGAGCCTGACCCGTGCTGTGCTGATTTATGGGGTTTTTATTTTAGTCATTTGTCTGCTTTTGTGAGAAAAAGGGCCCTGAAATCCCAAATTAATGAAGGGGCTGCCTGGCCCACGCAGTGCCACGAGCCCTGATCCAATGTAAACCGCAGCAGGGACTGCCTGGAGTTTAGAATAAATATTTTTGCAAAAAGATGGAAATAATCCCCCCATTCACCCGGGGTTTTTTTGGTTGGTTTGCTGCCTGGAGCCACGTTTGCTGGCACTGACTGGCTCCATCCATCCCCCAGGTCCACCTGATGAAGCCTGAGGCCGTGCCCAAGGCGTGCTGTGCCCCCACCAAGCTCAGTGCCACCTCTGTCCTCTACTACGACAGCAACAACAACGTCATCCTCAAAAAGCACAGGAACATGGTGGTGAAATCCTGCGGCTGCCACTGATGGACAGGTCCCATTCCCACACCTGGATGCCCTATTCCCAGCCCTGAGTGTCCCTTTCCCAACCCTGGATATCCCATTGCCACTCCTGAGTGTCCCATCCCCATCCCTGGATGTCCCATTCCCACCCCTGAGTGTCCCATTCCCATTCTTGAGTGTCTCAATCCCATTCCTGAGTGTCCCATCCCCACCCTGGATGTCCCATTCCCGTCCCTGGATGTCCCATTCCCACCCCTGAGTGTCCCATTCCCATTCTTGAGTGTCTCAATCCCATTCCTGAGTGTCCCATCCCCACCCTGGATGTCCCATTCCCGTCCCTGGATGTCCCATTCCCACCCCTGAGTGTCCCAATCCCATTCCTGAGTGTCCCATCCCCACCCTGGATGTCCCATTCCCATCCCTGGATGCCCCATTGCTGTCCCTGAGTGTCCCATTGCTGTCCCTGAGTGTCCCATTCCCATCTCTGGATATCCCATTCCTGCCCAAGTGTCCCATTCCCGTCCCTGGATGTCCCATTTTCACCCCTGAGTGTCTCATTCCCATTCCTGGATATTCCATTCCCACTCCTGGATGTCCCATTCCCACTCCTGAGTGTCCCATTCCCACCCCTGAGTGTCCCAATCCCATCCCTGAGTGTCCCTTTCCTGTCCCTGGATATCCCATTCCCATCCCTGGATGTCCCATTCCTGTCCAAGTGTCCCATTCCCACTCCTGAGTGTCCCATTCCTGTCCCTGAGTGTCCCAATTCCATTCCTGAGTGTCCTTTTCCCATCCCTGGATATCCCATTCCTGTCCAAGTATCCCATTCCCGTCCCTGGATGTCCCATCCCCACCTCTGAGTGTCCCAATCCCATCCCTGGGTGTCCGTTTCCCATCCCTGGATATTCCATTCCCACTCCTGAGTGTCCCATTGCCATCCCTGAGTGTCCCATTCCCACTCCTGAGTGTCCCATTCCTGTCCAAGTGTCCCATTTTCACCACTGAGTGTCCCATTCCCACTCCTGAGTGTCCCATTCCTGTCCAAGTGTCCCATTTTCACCACTGAGTGTCCCATTCCAACTCCTGAGTGTCCCTTGCTCACTCCTGGATGCCCCAATCCCATCCCTGGGTGTCCCTTTCCCATCCTTGGATATCCCATTCCCACTCCTGGATGTCCCATCCCCATCCCTGAGTGTCCCCTCCCATTCCCACCAGAGCAATGTGACCCCAGGTTATGCATGGAACAGGAGCTTTGTGGGCTGCAGCAGAGCAAAACCCATCAATAATAACAATAATTAATAATAAAATCCAAAAATAAACCCCTCCCACCCCCTTCTAGAAGTGGATGTAAATAATACAAAACTTCATTTGCCTTATCCTGCTTGATGACACACAGATATATACAAACATATATATATATATATATAGGAAAGAGAGGATTTTTGGCTGATTCTGTTTTGTCTGTGACTGATGAGTTTTCCCTGTGCTGGAGGCATTTTTGGGGGGCAGGCAGCATCCAGGTTGCTCTGGGACTGAGCTGTTTCTAGCTGCGTATTTCTCCACCAACCCACCTCTACCCAAGTGCTTTTAATTCCCTTAATGAAAATATCATCAGCCAATTAAGCAGCTGGCTGACTAAACCCCCTCCTGTTTACCCAAAGTTCACCAAACTCAGCCAGTTGGAAAAAAAATAAAATATCCATATTGAGCTACAGCACTGTTATAAAATAAACGCAAAGTTTGGAAAGTAAACACGGAGTTTCTCTTGCTCTTTGTTTTTTAATGTCACAGCACAACAGGGCTCTGTTCACAGGGCCTTTTGCAATGAAAAAAAAGACTCAGAATTGGCTAAAAATGTACCTATTTGCTTGAAAATGAGCCCTGATGTGAGTTTTAGGTCAGGCTGTGCCCATCCCGTGGGCTCCCAGCTGGGCTGTGACCGGTCCCAGGCAGCTTCCCCAGGTTATTTGCACAATTAAATTATTTATTTGCTCTGATTTTAAAAGGAAAAGGCCTGTCCTGGTTCTCAGCTCGGATACCTGGGGAACCTTACATCAATAAACAAGGAAAGAACCTGGCATAGTCAGGGAAAAATCCCAATAAAACCTCACCAAAATAAGGGAAGATTTGCTCCCTGTCAGTGCCCTGCTTCCCAAGGAAAGGTTTTGCTTTACTGGGTATTTAATTAATTAATTAATAATTAAGAATTAGTGGGTTCATGGCTGTAATATTAATTCCACACAGAATGTAGGTCAGGATGCAATCCTGGCCCTGTGGGATTTGGTGCTTCCTGCAGAGAGAACACCCAGGCCTGGCACTGGCTCTGAATTCTCCCTCTCAGGTCTTGCTGAAGACTTTAAAATGTGGGATTTAAATTAAAAAACAGGGAGCAAGGAAGGGGAAAGCTGGGCTGGTTTGTCTGTCAGGAATCACACCCCTGAATCTCACTTTGTCTGAGTTTTAGGACAATGCACAACCCCCAGCCACCCTAGGAAACCAGGCAGTGAAAAGTTGTTTTTTTTAAATGGAAAAACAACATGACGACTTGTGAGGGGCTGGGCTGGGAAAACCCAAAATCCCCAATGGCAAAGCACTTCCAAAGATCCCCAAAAATCTGAACATCAGCTCTTCCTCTCCACCTCATCCCACCTGCACAAGCTCAGAACCAAACCCCCCTTCCATAATTTCACAGGAAACCCAAAATCCATCAATCCACAAGTGCAAAGCCAGCGCTGCCCACCACAGGAACTATAAAATCCCTGTGGTTTATCCCACTCTGCAGGCTGGAAATCCCTTCCTACAGCCTCATCACTCTGGGTTTTTTTTATTTTTCACCACTCTAAAGGGCTCCCTCATTTCCTGGTGTTCTCCCAGTGAACACCCTCCTTGGGGATGGGGATGGAGCTGGACCAGCAGGACAGACACCAGCCAGGGACCTGCCTCCCTCTGCTGCTGGAAAAGGACACTACAGAGCCAAAAACACCTCCAGGAGATGCAACAAACACCAGAGGTTCAGCTCTGCTCTGCTCTCCCTGGCACAGGTACCTTCCCCTGGAGCCAGGATTTAGGCACAGGATTAATGAAGTTGAGGGCAAATACAAAAAAATAAAATTAAAAAAAAAAATCTTTGCTCAAAGACCAGCCTCCCACAGAGGGAATTCAGCAGCCAGGCCCTCAGTATTTTCAAAACTAGGTTTTATTTTTACCATAAACATAAATTTTTTTCCAGAACACGGCAGCAGGACCAGCCCAGCCCAGCTGGGGCAGCGCAGGCTGGGAAGGGATTCGGGATTTATGCCAGGAAGGATAAATCCAACCCCCTTGGCAGGGGAATTCCTATGGAAGCTGCAGGACGGGCAGTGCTGGGGGGTCCCTGGGGTGCCCCATCCCTGCTGGCTCCCTGTCCCTCCAGGCCAGGCTCCCTCCGAGCACGGAGCTCAGGCGCACTCCCCGCAGTCGGAGATGATCACCTTCTGCTTTGGCTTCCCATCCTTGGTGCCCTGAGCCTTGGGGGGAACAGCAGCAGCAGTTCCAGGGGTGACTCCTCATGGCAGGAAAGGGGGTGGGCTCTGCCCCCAGCTGCCCCCTGCCCTCACCTACCTCGATCTCCCTGACCACGTCCATGCCCTCCGTCACCTCCCCGAACACCACGTGCTTCCCGTCCAGCCAGTCTGTCTTGTCACAGGTGATGAAGAACTGGGAGCCGTTGGTGTTTGGGCCCGAGTTTGCCATGGACACCATCCCTGGGGTCAGAAAAGGCACAGTTAGGGCTGAGCCAGGAGCTGCTCCTTCAGCCCTAACCCCACATCCCACAGAACGCTGCTGGGTGTCGAAATCCACAGAAACTGGAAATTAATTATGCTCAGAAACACTTGCAAGTGTGAAGGACGCTCAGCTATTTTTAGCTGCAAAGCTGTTTGTATGGAGATAAACCTATTTGCTTGCTCCTGCCTTTCACAGTCATGCTGTGACGCTCCTCGTTTAAAAGCAAGCAGGAAAAGCAGCTTTGAAATTGTTTTTCCTTTATGTAATACTGCAGATAAAGAGGATGGAGAGGGAACGATGCATTTGGTGAGACACAAGGGTCTGAATGTGGCACAAATATCTGAGGCAGAAAAATCTGTAGCAGAAAAATCCAATGTAGATGATAATAATTAAAATTATAATTCAAGGCTGCTGCTATCTGTGGTGGTGTTCACAGGGGTCCCAGGATGAGGGAAGAGGTGAAAATCTTGACTCCATGTTACAGATGGCTGATTTATTATGATATATATTATATTAAAAGAAAATTATATATTAAAATTATACTAAAAGAATGGAAGAAAAGATTTCATCAGAAGGCTAGCAAGGAAAAGGAATGGAATGATAATAAAATCTTGTGACTGCTTACAAGATTTTAGGAATAGAATGATAATAAAATCTCACAAAATTTTAGGAATGGAATGATAATAAAATCTTGCGACTGCTGACAGCCCCAACACAGGTGGCTGTCATTGGTCATCAAGTAAAAACAATTTCACATGCTGGCTAAACAATTCTCCAAATCACATTCCAAAGCAGCAAAACATGGAGAAGCTGAAGCTGCTCAGCTTCTCAGGGGAAAAGATCCTGGCAAAAGGATTTTACATAAAATATGTCCGTGACACAAGGGTCTGAATGTGGCAGAAAAATCTGGCCAATAATAATTATAATATATAATTATATTATATATTTATATTATATTTTATATATTTGTATAACATATAAATATATATACAAATAATATAATTATATACTATATTTATATAATATATAATTATATTATATAGAAATATATTATCTATTATACATAATATAAATTATATTCCTATATATAATATAATATAATATAATATAATATAATATAATGTATTATAATATTATAATATTATAATATTATATTATAATATAATGTACAATGTGCATTTATATAATTTACATAATTATATAATTATGTATAATTATAGAATATTTAAATATATAATATAATAATAAAATATAATATATATTTTTATATATTATATATTATATTATATCTTATATCTTATATTATATTA